TTTCATTGCAATTTTTTTTTTTTTTTGGGGACAACATGAGTCACGAATAGTTTGAACAAGAGTTGACCAGTTGAGATACATATTATCTACTAAATAATACCCCTATTGTACTTATTTCCTTGGATGAGAATGTGCTGGAGGGACAATTTCTCTAACAAGTCAGAAAGTAAATGAGACCTTTCTAGTACATTAAACTATCTTTAATGGGGACCCTTAGGTTGGATCACCAGAAAAAAAAAATAAAAAATAAAAAAATAAAAAAGGCAAAAATCAATGAAAAAGTGTGACCCAGGTCACAACTGGGTTGCCGGACACTTGTTCGAAATTGATTGGACAAGTGTTTTTTTAAAATAAGATAAAAATTAATTTGCATTTTTAGAGATTAATTTATGTTAAAAATAAAAATAAAAAATATCAATAAACGTATTTTTCATTCTCTATAAATAGATACCACATTTGATATACTTTGAAACACGATTGCAATTTGGTAGTAGCAAAAGAAGTTCTGTTTGAAACTTTCTAACCATATTTTACGAGTTGCAATTTTGTGTTTTGATTTTATATTTTATTGGAAAAGTAGTACACATGCTTGTTTTGTAGATAGTTTTACATTTTTGTTAGTCAGCATCCCCCGCAAATGAGCTCATTTTGTGGTTTGAAACCTGCGCTCAACGTTATTGCAGCTACAATCCATGGATCCCAAAACGAACTGGTAAGAAATATGTTTTCTACAACTGGAAACTCAAATTTAATATTGAGATGAAAGAAAAAATGACTTAAATAGTGTTTACAATTATACACTAAAAAATTCAGAAAAAAAAAGAATAAATCATAAATAATGGTTAAAAATACTCAAACATATTTTACTCAGTATACCATTATTTAATGTATATTACAAGCTTTGACGATGGAAATTTTAAAATGAAAGAAACACGACTAAAAGGGCGTGTACTAACATATATGATAAAATTCAAAAATGATTAAAAATGCGCGTATATGTACGCCGAAAAAATCAAAAAAGAAAAAAACTCATAAATTCTGGTTAATAATGCTAAAAAGAGCGTGTAACGCTGTACACCGAATTTTTCAAAAATGAAAAAAAAAAACTCATAAATACAGGTTAAAAGGCTCAAACAAAATTTCATTTGCCACAGTACACCATTATTTAAGGCATGTTACGAACTTTAAAGTGAACATTCAATTTTGAGACGGTAAAAAAACGGTTGAAGGGCGTGAACAGTTGTACACCGAAATTTTTAAAAATGAAAAAACTCGTAAAATATGGTTAAAAAGTTTCAAACAGAACTTCTTTTGTTACAGTACACCATTATTTAAGGTATATTACGAACTTTGAAGGTAAAAATTAAATTTTGAGACAGTTGAAAAAATGGCTGAAGGCGTGTACAGTGTACACTGAAAAATTTAAAAATAAAAAGAACTCTTCGTAAACTGCCACGACGCCAACCGAGTAGACATCGCAGTAGTTCTCCCTTAATTCTTTGCGTCTTTGTTTCATGGCCTAAATTTGGGCCTCATCCTTTGCTGGTTTGACTTCTTTGCCATTTGAAGCCGGTGCCATGGGCATTTCGAAGGTTGGCACATACATTGATTCCTCGGTCATGATGTGTTGCTAGGCTCTGGTCAAGAAATCATTGTAGGTGGTCGGCTTGTTATGATGCAATGACCATCTGAACATAGAGTTTGACGTAAGGCTGGCCTGAGCGGATATCAAGCGAGTCTCAGGATGACATGGCTCCATATTGTAGACTAGGTCGTTAAACTAAGCTATGTAGTTTTTCAGACTTTATTTGGCTCCCTGGATGACGTTTGTGATGGACTCCTTTGGGGTCATGCATGCCTGTGAGCCTATGAAGTGCGACCTAAAGGCCGACCTCAATTGGCTCCAGGCCGAGATCGAGCTAGGATATAGAGAGTGATACCACCTTTGTACCTTATCCCTCAGGGTGAGTGAGAACATACGACATCTAAGGGCATCTCTGGCCCCATGTAAGTCCGTCCAAGATACGTATAAGCTGATGTGTGAGTCAGGGTCCGACTGCCCATCGTATAACCCTATCTGGGGTACCTTAATTTTGCCAGGGAACGAACAATGTAGTATGTCCGATGACAGTGATGATGCCGAGTCGATTATTCAAGCATTGGAGAAAGCAGAGGTGGCATTGACGTCTTACCCCCTATTGTTGTCGAGCTTCCAACTCAACTATCCTCTTCCTGAGGATCGCGACTTTATCCGACTCACACTTAGCGGGTTGATCCTTCAATATTTTATGTTAGAGGTCTCGTTCGACCTCTTTGTCCCCGAGACGACTAAAGACCGAGGGGTTTGGGGACTTTTTCTTGTGTCGTGTCATAGACTCACTTTTGTTGGTTTGTTTCATTCGCGTAGGATCCACGGTCTTCTCTTTTAGGGTTTTTATTGCCTTCTCGAGAGAGATGATGATGGCCTTAGGCTGCAACTGGACTTTGCCTTTGTCTCCGACAGGATTCATGTCTTTTTTTCGTTGGTGTTTTGAGTAGGTCTCTGCGCCGGCGGGGGTGTCGATCCTTGCGACAACGATGGCATGATTTGGGGCACGAAACTTGCCATTCCCTTCAAGAAATTGGGGTTCTGGAACATTGCCGTAAAGTCTACGGGTGGAGCTCACTTCGGGTGGTTGCGCAGCGGTTTGCGGTTGAGAATCACCTTCTTGGCTCGCAGATAGAGACGTTTCCATTGGTTATGTAACTGAAAATGGAAAAAAGGATAATCAATGTGTGTTCACAAGATTGAAAATCGACTCCAAACAAATTATGAAACACTTCTTCTACCGCCAAACTGTTGATATGTGGATCTGTATCAACGGTTATTCAAAAATCAACCATGGATTGAAAAAATATAGTCATGAAATAAAAGGAGATTTTATGGTAAGAGTAGAGAATTTTATGTTTGAACGAGGTCTTCGAGGTCAGACTTGTAGGTTGTGTTGCTTGAATTCATTGCGAATGATTGTCGCCTTTTTATGCTTGTTTGCAGTTCTTTTCTTATTCTGGTAAATGCATTAAACACGTTGCTTAATTATTTCGTTCTGCTCGCCACAAATAAAACATAGGACTATTTATAGCTAAACACCCCCGGTTACTGTTCCTTTACTGTTCACTGAGCCATGTTGCACAGTAAACCGAAATAACAAACATTAAGTAATGCATGGTTGACCTTAAATGATGATTATCGACCATTATATGCTGATTGACGGGCCTTTAATGAGGACATGCCACCCTAAGGGGCCTATGGGCTATAGGTCAGTTCGTTGGCACATCCCATCGACCATCATCATACTGCAAGTGACATTATTGTATTATTCCCTGGCGTTGAGTGCGCTTTTCTGGGGTCCGATTTCGAAGATCTTCGAGATCGGACTTCCGTCATGACTTGAAGTTGAGCTTCTTTCTTCTTGTTTTGAGCTCGGTTCTCCGTCGGACTTTGAGATCAGACTTTTTTCTCAATTGTTATCCCATTGTCCGCCAATCTTCAGGCCCAGACCCCCTATCGCTGAGGGGTGGGGCCGAGCGGAGTGCCATGCCCCATGGACTGACTGATTTGGGAGCTCTGCTTTTGAGGATTACTTATCCGCTAAACGAAGTAAATTCCAAACCTATACTTATCAATTCGGATGTCAATAATATTCAAAAATATTTTTATACTAATCAATATTCATTTACTACGTTAATTTATAAATTATTATTATTATTGCTCTCATGCATCGTACACTATGTACAAGCATAAAAAAAACATTGTATAGTATTTTAATTGCAAATATTAATACAATATAAAAATGTGAAATAATAAATGTCCATTTTTAAGTAAAGGGTTGACTAATGAAACACACAAATTGAAAATAATAATGATTTTTTTTTTTTTTTTTTAACTATTCCTATGAACTAAATTCCACTAAATTTATAATTTTCCTTAAAAAATCTTTTTTTTTTTTTTTTTTTGAAAGAAAATGATTCTTTTATTGGGAGAGGGTGAAAGAACAAGCTTAAAAAAAGGATATGGGGGACCTCTCCACACGCAGTAGTAGGCATCAACCTGCAACTACCCTCAACAGCTCCTCCATCTTTCTCGCCCCAACCCTTCCATCTTCTTCTCGCTCACACTCACTCTCATTATTTTATATGTAAAAATGTTATTCCGGCGACAATTTCATTGAATGTTATGCCCATTTTTGAGTAGTCGCCGGCGCCGTTAAGTAATCCTCTCAAATGGCGTCTTCTTCTTCTTCTTCTTCTTCCTCCTCAGTCCCAGCTCGTTCTGTAATCACTTCACTTGCAAATGCACCTGTGTATTCATCCATTCACGAAGCTCTTTCTCCAGGTGAGTAAGGCTATACTCGCTCATTCTTCTTCTCTTTAACAGCTAAAAACGGGAAGAAAAAAATAAAAAAATTGAACATAAATTTCACGGTTCAGGCGATGAAGCCGGAAGCCGAGGAGGCGCAGGCATGGGTTCGAAACATAAATTGTTGGTGTCACTTGTTGCTGCTTTAGCTGTGGTGGGCATAATATTACTGTTTGTTTTCTGTATTTACTGTCACCGCAAGCTCAAGGGCCGCCGAATTTTGAAGAAAAATGACAACAGGTCAGGTACACTCCGAGAGCTCTCGATTAATTCTGTTGATTTCTTGAATTTTTTATGTGTTGTGAGTGCTGATTAGGTTATTATCGTCTGCAATTTCCAGTTGTTTGGATAGTGCTAGTTGTAAAAAGAGACCTGTTAGTGTAATGGAGTACGAGACCTTAGAATTAGCCACCGGTTGTTTTGGCGATGGTAACATATTGGGAGCTGGAGGATTTGGGTGTGTGTACAAAGCCAAGCTTGAAGGAGACTGTTTTGTTGCTGTCAAGAGACTAACTGCTGCTATGGGGACTGCAGATGATCAGAGAGAATTTCAGGTGCCCCTTTTCTGAGTGACTCTATCCGTCTAAGCTCCGAGTTTTCGTCTAATAAGCATGAATGATGTTGTATTTTGTTTATTTTTTTGAACCTTGATTGCAGACTGAAGTAGATTTATTGAGTAAAATTCAACATCCGAACATTATTGTGTTATTGGGGTATAGCATTCATGCCGAAAGTAGGCTTCTGGTATACGAACTGATGCAGAATGGATCTCTAGAAACACAACTGCATGGTAAAAGATGATTCGAGCCTAAACAAGATGACTTCGTTTTTTGTCTTTGCTCTAAATCTCTTGATGTATGTCTTCAGGACCTTCGAGGGGATCGGCATTAACATGGCATCTAAGGATGAAGATTGCTCTTGATGTAGCAAGGTGAGTGAGTAGCTGAGTATGACAACAGACAGCATCATGTGGATATTTGAGTGTGTACTTGTGATTGGTTTGAGATTATTATTATTGTTATTTAACATATTCTGCAACTGGTTGACCAGAGGATTAGAATATTTGCATGACCACTGCCATCCACCAGTGATTCATAGAGATCTGAAATCATCTAATATTCTTCTGGATTCCAACTTCAATGCCAAGGTAAAATTGGAAAGAACCTCTGATCTGTAAAAACCATTAATATACGTTCGACAATTGTTTCCTTCTCTGCATAAAACTCTACTGTGCTTGTATTTTTAATTTCCTTTTTGAGTCAATGAGCATAGCTTTCGGATTTTGGGCTTGCTGTGCTGGACGGACCGCAGAACAAGAACAATATCAAGCTTTCAGGAACCCTTGGTTATTTAGCTCCTGAATACCTTTTAGATGGTGAGGACAAAACTTGCCTTTTTTTTTCTGATACTTACTCGTTCAGTTGTTTCACTTTGTAGTTTACGCGTGTATATATATATATATATTTGTGTGTGTGTGTGTGCTATTGCATTATTGTTGGGGGATTTCATGATAATAGATTTCTATGCAAATAGGTAAGTTAACCGATAAAAGCGATGTGTATGCCTTTGGGGTAGTGCTGCTGGAGCTTCTACTCGGGAGAAAGCCAATGGAGAAACTGAGCCCAGAAGCTCAGTGCCAGTCTATAGTCACATGGGTAGGCTTCTTTTTCCAATTTTATCTTCATTTTCTATATGGACACTCATAGCAATACGTGCCTCTACGCCAATTTGATGCAGGCCATGCCTCAGCTTACTGATAGAGCAAAGCTTCCTACCATCGTAGATCCTGTGGTTGGAAATTCCATGGATTTAAAGCACTTGTACCAGGTTCTTTAATGACGTTTAAATCAAAGTTTTTCTTTTTAATTATATATGCATGAATGAAAAACGAAAGAAAAGGAAAAAAAAAAAAGCAGAGCAATAGGAGCCGAATTCCGAAATTGCTAGTGTTATAATGCGAACTCCAACTGAAATAAGATTTTGGTTCAAAACTTGAACGAGCTAGGGTGTTCTAGCCGATCATGGTTGCTTGAACCTCAATAATACACGTGTTTCAAATTACATTCAGCTTGCTACTGATGTTATATTGCCTTTTATGTTTGTCTGACAACATACATATCTTCATTTTTGTGTATGCATAGGTTGCTGCTGTGGCGGTGCTATGTGTACAGCCAGAACCGAGCTATCGCCCGTTAATAACGGATATTTTACATTCTCTGGTGCCCCTTGTCCCTATCGAGCTTGGTGGAACGCTCAGGACCTCAACAGCTGTGGCTACAACAACACCATCTTCTTAAAGCTTATTAATGTATTCCACAAACTAAAACCCCTAAAGTCTGCTGTATTGTATGTATGTATGCGGCCTTCAGATCAAATATGGCCAGAATAACACTTGATTTTGATTTGACTTCCAAAATTGTACTTCAATAATATTCAATTTTTCCAGTTGTTTCGTCAGTGAGATTTATTTGCGGTAAAAATTTTGCAATTTCAACTTCGTGTATTATTTCTTTATCACTGAAGTTCGATCATAAACATTAAACCACAATGTACACACATGTTGTACATTGAAGCTGAGATGGCCAAGTCATTAGTAGAAACATTCTTTTTAAA